TATTCTTGTTTTTTCATGGCTACCTCATAATAAACTTTAAGTGTGCCAGAGTATAAATTTATGCTACACTTAATAAGTGAGCTATTAAGCAAACCTCTCTCCCATTATATATTGACCCTCTTTATATATTATGTATAAAGTCATGGACATTACTATCTTACCAGAATTATCCGGGTATCGTACGAAACGAATTATATGGAAACTATATTTACACAAATCAATTAAAATTACCATGTATATAATAAGCAATGATTTAGATATCACACTTTGTAGTCTATTTGCTTGTTCACAAATACCGTTATGAATTGATTGAACATGGTGCAAATCTTGTACATTTATTGTGAATCTTTTATTTAATATTTGTCGGTTTAATACGGAAAACATCTGGGTTATTATGTAGCAATGTAATACAATATATGAAATAGCTAAATACAATGGAAAATGAGCAGTGGCATAATAAAATAGATCCTCGATAAAATTTGGTACAGGGTGTACTGTAGTCCGACTATTTTTTAAAGCATATAAAACATGAAATTTTCTAATTACAAATAGTTTTATAGCGTCAATACACATTACCAAGGTTACCTGAAATATAATTAATAAAACTAAACAATACATATATCTTTTAAGATGTCTGTATTTAGTCATGAAATTTATTAAATTTTCATTAAGCACAATTTTATCGCACTTTAATGTGTATACCAGTAAGTTTCAAAAATAGGTAGCATTCACATTTAGTAATGTTATAAGTATTACTATTTGTAATAATTTGTAATACATGGAACTCAATGGTTATACAATAATTAATCCACATAACATTTTGCTTATTATAATTGAGCTAGTAATGTAGTTTTTAAAATATTTAACATGTTGATATTGTCGGAATACATTATATAATATACATAATAGTAATATAAGTCTTATGCTATATATTCGAAAACGAGTTGTAAACTTATCTGGTACACTTTGCCTAAATCCGTAGATTTTCATTATATTTCTCAATGGGCTAACTATAGTAGAAATAGATGTATAATTCATCATGTTTTTATAGTTAGCTAGCAAATATTCACTTGATGAAACAAGAAATACAAGTTATTTAATAAAATACTCATGCTAGCATTAAATTAAAAATAAATAAATTGCGTTTAGTACAGTAATAATTATATTAAATAAATTAAAAATAAATGATCAAATAAACCTACTTGGTATAGATATATTTTTGGTGCTAAAATTGTATTTACACTTAATAAAATAAATAACCAATATGCATTAAATAAATTAAATGTAAATATAAAATTATTGTTTTTATTTTAGTTATTTTTATATTTAGTAAATATATAAAAGCAGTATTTATTTTTAATAGTATTTTAATTAATTACTCTGTAGGCAATTTAACTATTTTAATCAATTAACAATAATTATGTATAATAGTATTTATATTAAATATGTATTATTATGTATTATTGATACTTAAAAATTAAATCAGTATTATTGAAAATACAAGTCTCTATACTAGAAACCCTGAAATTGACCATTCACAAATAATACTCATTATTTTTCTGGCCCTTTCATATAAAATATAATGAATGACTATGCAAATAATGACCTTTTAATATACATTTTGTATGAATAAGATTTTATGATTACAATAATCAGAGTTTTTACATGAATAAGTGAACATATTTTATCAATATGAAAACATATAAATTAAAAAACAAAAACCAAAAACTCTATGTCTAATCATACAAAATATTTAAATATTAATTTTTTTTGTAAGAATAAGTCATAGCGTTATTTGTAATATACTGAATATTCTTTAGTATAAATTTTAGTTGGAAATCAGTTTTTGAACGCTTTTTAACTATAACGCTAAGCTTATTTGATACTACTCTATACCCTACACGATATTACATATTAATTACAAAATATACCTAAATCTCATAATCTTAATAGATTCTTGGCACAATGTGCAAGTTATACAAAATGTCCTTTCAGTATATTAAAAAATAAATTGCAAAATTATAGTATAATCATTTTATATAAATATAATTTTATATTAAATATACAATGTTTTTGTGATAATACAATGTTACGCTATACAATAAATAATAAATCTTAATTTAATTTATCAAAAACTTATGATTTTTATATCAGTCATATAGTCTAAAGGAGGTCTAAACTTAAAGTCATATGATTTCAATTGAACTTGTTGATAGTGTGACAATTCTTAGAAAATTGCTGTTAAATAAAATAAAGGTAGCAATATAAATTATATTATATAAGACAACTTATTTGTAAAATAAAATTATTTTTAGAAAATATTTTACAATGCTCACCTATTTAACATTGTTATTTATATTTACGGCAGCTTATGCCGTGCCATTTAACCCACAATTTGAGCAAGGTTTTAATGGTAAGCAATGGGTGGTGCTAGCTGCGTCCAGTAATGGTTGGTTAAATTATGGTGACCAGGTACGCTAAATAAAAACCTACATTTTAAATTTTTTAAAAATAACTATTAATATTGTAAGGCCGACGTATACCACGCCTACCATGTGGTCCGTTCCCACGGCATACCCGACGAGAACATCATTTTGTTTCATTACGACGACATCGCAAACAATAAGCAAAATCCGACAAAAGGTGTCGTTGTGAACGAACCCAACGGTACAAACGTTTACTACGATATACCGAAAGAGCGTAGTATTACCGGGAAGGACATTACGCCCCAGGTACATTTATTTAAAAAATTATTTTAATGATGCACGCAACACTTATATAATTATAATTTTCTTAGCGATTCTTGTCAGTGCTAAAGGGTGATAAAGGAGCTGGCTCACTTATTGTCAACAGTGGACCCGATGATCATATATTTGTGTATTTAATTGATCATGGCTCAAACGGTATTTAAATTAATTTACTATAGTTTTATATGACATATTAAATATATTTATTTTTAATTAGGTCTCATAATGTTTCCCAATGAGATACTGTATGCCGAAGAATTAGTAGGCACATTAAAGCAAATGCATACGAATAAAAGATTTGCCAAGCTAGTATTTTATTTGGAAACGTGTCATTCGGGTAATTATATTAGAGATAATTAATATAATATATAAAAATAATAAATCTTTTCAAATGTAACAAGGATCAATATTTGTAAAGCTATTACCTAAGGATATCGATATATACGTGACCACAGCTGCCAGTCCTGATGAGGAAAGTTATTTCTGTTGCTACGATGAAAAGCGTGATAGTTATGTGGGTATGTATTATATA